TAGATCAGACTTTCTTGTGTGACCCTGAATATTCAGCTATGATATGTTTTTATTTTTTTGTATTTTATGACATTTTGCGTTCATATATATATATATTAGATTTTTATTTTGTTCATTACTTAGCACATTATTTAAATACTATTTTATTTTACTATTTATTATCAATAAATTATATTATCAATATTTTTATATTGTTTATTTCCTTTTCTTGTAATTACTTGTTTTGTGTACAATGCTCTGGTAAATATTTTATGTAAGCACAATCATGCCAAGAAAAAAATATTTTAAAATATCTTTACCAATCATAATTGTATTTTTCTATTTAATCTTTTCGTATTTTTGTCTTGTTTTCCATTACAAATATGTATATTTAATTTTTTTTTAAATCAGGATGCATGCATTTACTTGAGATTCAAAATGACATAAGATAATTTTGTTTTCTGAGAAACTGATACAAATAAGAAATAAGAAAAAAATCTGCCACTGGGTAAATAGTTTTCTATTTTAAATGAAGTTTATTATTCTGACTTCATTGGCAGATTTTTGTCCTATTTTAAGCATAAGTGCACTTTATTTTGATGAATTCATCAAAAATTATGATGCCATTTTGCATCTTTGCAAATTTACATTTAGGCATTTACATGTGTGCATTTCACAGACATTTTTCATTCAGTATGATTGCATTGCATTAAATGTTTACACACTATCAGTTCATGCATTGCCTGGAAATCAAACCAATGACCTTGACCATACTAGGGCAATGTCCTACTGCTAAATGCATATTAATTTAAGGATGATTTTAGATAACTGTATTGGAAAACAATACAAAAATGACAAAGCAAGAACATCATTGTGTGCAGTGTAATTATTTTACTTTGACTTTCTATGTTTATGTTGACTTTTCACACAAAGAGCATTTAACCCCTTTATCCCCTTGTCAAAGGTACAAGAGAGCACAGAGAGCACTAGTTTACTAGTCAAAGACTGTCTGATTCATTTTGAATCCAAAAATGACAAACCCTGGCTGACAATGCCAGTTCAAATCTGGCTGTCTTTAAAAACACACAAACTTTGACTGATCGCTTTATGTCTCTCAGGTAGGGATGGGCGATATCTTATCGTTTGCGATATACTGGTAAAAATTCTCCCCACAATAAGAATTAGTCTTCCCACGATAACGATAAAACCTAGTTGTTGACATATTTCTGTGTGCGACCGTGCAGAGCTGTCGTGAAATTGAGGAGGAGTTTATTTATCGCTAAACGAAGAGCTACAGAGTCTACAGTCTGGAACTGGTTTGGTCAGGAGTGTACAGTGCGACAAAAAAATCGGTCTGAGCCTTGAATAAATGTACTACAGTAACACAGTTTTGCATGTGTATGAGCCTGTTTACAAACAAAGATACCATTTATCGACATGCTTTTTCTCCAAATTAACTTCATAACATCAGTCGAGTGTTCGAAATAACTTTGTGATCAGATGTGGTTTCATACTACAGAATGAGGCAGAAATAGTATACAGTGATAAAGTCTAATTGATTAGCGTTGCATTATAAATATACTTCATCCTTATAAAAATACCCAAGATTGCTTGAATAACACAGATAAACCATATATTGTCGCATCCGTATGTTTTGTTGTCATCAAGTTTCCTCAGTTAAAATTTCTCTCTCTGCGTTTTATTCAGCGATAACTGGATACCTTTGTCCATATTAGGGATTTCCTGGAACATCATCAGTGCAATTACTTCTGCCATGCATATGTGGTGTTTCTGCACAAGAGTGCCCTCCGGCTTCCAGTTTGCATTAAACAGTCATTACATTACGTGTGTGCTCAGTAATGCTCACAACATCAGGGTAAAAATAGGAATGATATTACTTTTCTTTAAAGAAACAGGATTTTTTTGCCTCTTACTGGATGCATCCATATCATCATTGATATCGTTATCACAATAAATACCAGAAATTATTGTGATATACTTTTAAGCTCATATCGCCCATCCCTACTCTCAGGTCGTCTCTTCTCTTGGCTAAAATAAGCTGACAACAGTCAAATGCCTGGCTATTAAAAACTAACTACGAATCATGCGCTCTTAGCAGCTCTACTTTACATGAGGTGCTTGTTCCTTTGGGGTTCTGAATTATTGCTTTCAGCTGGTCTCAGGAAACACTGAATTAATTCTAGGCATATTTTAATAACATGATTTGAATATGAAGTCTTGAGTGGGCCGCAGCGGAGCTCGAGTCCCAGAGTTCAGCCCTGAGAAAGCAGCCAGTCGTGCTCATGGTGCCTACAGAGGGTCTGGAATCTGTACGGTTGGGCTTTACCAAACAATAGCTGGATTATCCAGGAGAGCCACTGACCTTATGTCTGGATAAATCAAAGCAGAGCTTCACACACACACACACCATACTGTACAACACTGTGAAACTTAATAAAAGAATGTCTGAATCTATAGATAGATATTAGAGATAAATAGTATATATATATATATAGTGTGTGACTTTGTCAATAAAAATCTCAGTTTAATTACAGAGTAGTGATATTTTAGTATCAATGATAAACTATTCGTTTTTGATAACATTTTGAATAGATTTTTTTTATATTTTTTGTTTTCATTTAAATTTTAATGAAAGTTTCAGTAGTCAGTTTTACTAGTTTTTACACACACACACACACACGTCTTAGTGCTGTCAAAATTAGCACCTTAACGCATGCGATTAATTTTTTCAGTTTAACGGCGTTAAATATATTTATCGCAGGGGTGGAGCTAGGGTTGGACCAGGCGCGGGTCAAACGAGCGCGGAAAAGCTACAGGCGATGAGGAGCTTCAGAAGAACAACAGTGAACTGCGCTCAGATGAGATGCTGTCAGGCCGTATGTCAGTAAAAAACAATTTTCCTGTCCTGTCAGCCGTTATTCTGTGATCATAGCACGTGCTCTTAAAATGCATGCAAAAAACACGCCGGCGTGCGCAATTATTATTTTAAAGCGCTATTATCATATTAAAGCGCAAAAGAAACTACGAGCATGCAATATCATAGGTATGTCGTCAGTTAAGCCTTGAAGTTACCATAAAAGGTGATTAAAGCTGCCTTAACACTGTGCATGCATGCAAGTATTTGTTATATATGAGTCACATTTAAATGTAGTGGTTTTCCAAACTGTCCTGGAGCAGCAGCACTGTCTCCCTCATCTAACACCCGATTCAACTCCTCAGCTCATTATAGAGACTTTAAGAGCTGAAGTGAGTCAGAAAAGGTAAAGAGTTATGAGAAACTATGATGCGTGTCAGATCCGCGTCATGTTCAGCAGCGGCAGCTCTTAAAGCAGCCAAAATAACCTCATCACCAGCTGCTGTTATGCTGTTCATCAAACAACAAAATAAAAAGAGCTTTAAGGATTCATCTATATTTCATTTAGAATTTAGCATTTGATGGCTATTACATTTCTGTATATTTCCTACTTGCTGAAGGGCACATGTAGCTAAATATGACATTTATTATAATGGGTTTATGTGAAGATTGTGTGCAGTTCACTAGAAGTTATTTTTTAAAGTCTAATAAATGTTAAAATTGATAGCTCTCAATTATAACTATTCTGTAATGTTGAATGGCTATAGTCAGTGGTTAAATATGAGGGGAAAAAAACTATTTCCTAGAGACTTTAGTAATATTGGTTATCAGTGATACTCACCTTCAGACATAAAAAAGATGCCACTAAACAAATATTTAGTGAGTCTTTATAAGTCTTTATTTACTGTTGTTTCTACATTATTTTAAAGATTGAATGTTAAATTATTGCAATATAAAAGTATATTTAAAAAAATTAATGTTAGGTGGGATTAATCGCAATTCATTTTTAGAAAAAATTTGCAATTAGTAATTTTTTTTAATCAATTGACAGCACTAATATGTCTACATAGTTGTTATTAGTTGTATTTTAGTTTCAGTTAACTATAAGAACCATGATATAGGATTGTATCAAACAGATCATTGGTCACACTGTGATGCTTTCAGAATATTAATCTGTTTAAGCAGCCAGGCATTTTGGGAAACCTGTTTGAAAGTCATTATTTTGCAATAATATAATTTTTGCAATAATAAAACTTCACACTTCACATCTGACCAGCTCTTTCAGATCTGATCCTTAAAACCGACTTTCAATCACATTAAAATAATCTCAGGATTGAATAAAACTTGACTAACCCATGAAGTGCATTTCTAGTCGACTAAACATTTTACAGCCAGACATCTGCGCTGCCAGAACCTGCTTCTGTCCAGATCACGTTTGATGTTTACATTCGCCAGATGCTTTATTTTGTTGGTTACGCGCTGCACAAAAACAGCCTTTCGGACATAAAACTGAATGATGCTTCACTGTTGTTTTTCTTTCTCCTTTCCTTTTTTTTTTGCATCCTGAGGAGGGAATACCCTGGCCCTGTTTGTCTGCAGGTGATGTATCTGCCCTCTCCTGGTCACAGCTGTGACACTCCAGCATGTAAAGTCACGGACATGCCTTCAGGGACACGCACTTATTATCTACCGCTCACAAAGACGCTGCTTTTCATTTCAAAAGCACTTGCATATAACTCCTATTGCACACTAGTTTAGTCTAAAACCAGGTTCTGTATTAGTAACTTTCAACATCAGGACATTACATAATGTTTGGGGTTCTCCTCAGTCATGAGAGGTGTAAAGATGTGAATGTCAGAAGGGTGAGTGTAAACAACACGGATTACTCAGGAGAATATGATGAGCAGAAGGAAAAACACTCCTCATTTAGGAACACAGTACTATTAAAATAAGCCTTGAATTGTGAAATATCAAATATGATTAACTAATTCCCACTTTTGTCACGCGCAAATCTCCTCTCCAGGCTTTACGCTCCACAAATCAGCCCGACTGTAATGCAGCGGGGTGTCTGTCATCATAAAGATGGCATCGACCTCTAAAGCAGATTACACACAGATCCCGGACGAGCGCGTCCCGTCTTCCTTACCGTTCTGAGATGATACATACGGGAGCATCACGTTCCCGTGGATGAGGAGCAGCGCGAGCATCCCCGCGTAGGACAGCATCCTGCGGGAGGACGGAGACGGGACACGGCGAGCAGGTGATGGACACGGAGCGGCTTCAGCCGCAGAGGATGGCGGAGGAGGAGTGAGGGCGGACGGCGAGAAACGCGACAGGCGCTGCGTGGCTCTGCTGCATGGAGGACGGGTGAGGATGAGGATGATGCTGTCCGGCGCTTAGGAATGCGGATGCTGATGCTGCTGCTGCTGGAGATGATGATGATGATGATGGGCCATCGGAGTGTCCGTCATCTCGGAGAACCTTCAGCTGTCAGTGGGCCTCGAGCGCATCAGCTCTGCGCAGCGGCCGCGCATGCGATTCACTGTGGAATTCAAGTCCAGAAATGTAACATTACAATACAGTAACACGTAATGCAATCAACAGATATTTTCAGTGCTATCTTTAGATATAAAAAGGGACCGGGGAGGATTATTGTCACACTTTTTACTCCAGTTAATAGGCCAATTGCTTTCCTGTAGGTTATTTCTGCAATGCAATTAATAGTAAAGGCAAACTTTAAACAGTAATATTCCCAAAATTAATTCACCATATATTTAACTTGGGGGAAAATTATATTCAAACAGGGGGGCATTTTTTCCCCCAGCGAAATCGATAAAATCGAATTCAATAAAAGTGAACAATTAATGAACCCGAAAAATGCAAAAAGTAACCTACATAAATGTCTAACCATTGTTTTGGCCAAAATAAATTAGAATGAAAAATTGCAAATTTTTTAAAACGTTGTATTTAAAATGTGACAACTTGCCCCAAAGACCACATTTACAATAATACTTTTGTCCTGAAACACAGTTCAAGTCTGCTTTTTACTATAGCGACTCTTGTCTTAATGTCATTGTGGTTTTATTTTCTTTTTATTTAGTCATTTATCAGACGCTTTTATCCAAAGCGACTTACAAATGAGGACAACAGAAGCAATCAATTGTAGTATTAAAACAACTAAAAACAGATCCAAAACTAAAAGCTAAAACTTTATAAATACTACTTATACACATTTTAAAAATAAAGAGATTAAATAAAAATGACAAATGCATACAACAAAATCTCAAAACTTAACATAAATGAAAAACAAAAAATAAAGCTAAAAACAATTCAAAATAGTAAAGAACAAAAGGTATAAGAGTATAATAATGATTCTAACATAACACTAAGCCAAACACCAAAATACAACAACTACATATGTGTATGTACAACCACACACACATACATATATACTGTATATGTATATACACATTTATAAATTCAATATATATATTATTTCATTTCCATTTAGTTTGTTGAAGTATTAAAATAACTCAAATTAAATAAAACTAAAAACTTAATATAAGACCTATACAGACATAATAAAGTCAGACATAATTTAACTCAAATTAAAATAAATAACAAATACAAATAATACAAATCAAATGACAGTAGTTTATCAGTAATCCTACAAAATAACACTGCCAAACACACATGCTAAAAAACAACAACTTACTTACACATACTAAGAAATGGTTATAAAAACTGAAACAGAAGCGAAACAAGTAATAGGAATGTTAGGAAAGTTTAAGGTTTTATTGTATAACCCAACAAATGTTACATAAAAATGAATCCTGTGTCACTTAGAAATTGCTAGTAAATTTCACAAATAATTACATTGAGTAGGCTAACACATTGAATTAAATGTAAAAGCAGAAAGATTTAAATATATGTGCAACTTCATTTTTAGTGACACACGGTATGTTTGAAACAAACAGAAGCATTTATGACTCGAAGCCTTTACTTTACTGAGATATAGCGCTTGTGACAACTAGCCCCGACCTCCTTATACCATGGTACTGAATGATTATGATCCATGTACAATGGTATTCACACGGTAGGCTACTCCAAATCAAGTACTACTTCACTAAATGTTGATAGTAGTAAGCATGGTGATGTGTGGTAATGTCTCAAGGGTTGCGCAGGATATTTATCTAGGGCACTACAGAGATTTTCTCCAAGAAAGTGCATGTTATCCTCTGTATTCACCCGCTCACATTCACACAGCGCCATCTCATGGATCAACCATGAAATACAGTACAGTCTTTACTGTGCATGAATTATTTGCTCGCTTATATTTTGCTCATCTTCCTCGAACACTATTCGATTTGATGGAACAAAATATTGTGGCATTAAATAAAACAGTGGAAATATTATATCAAACATGTTTTATGATCTACTTTTGATTGTCAAGTTGATTAAATGTTCTATTTATTAAAAAGAATATTAATAATAATGACTTGAATGCATGTATGCACTACCAGTAAAAAGTTTTGACATAATTCCTCTTTATTATTTTAAAATTCTGGGATGTTTGTAAACTCTACACTGAAGATAACTTGGTGTAGGATTTACTTCAAAACAACTTTCATTCAGAAATTGCAAGTAAATTCAACAATAATTATGAGAAAATGCAAATTCATTTTCCACTGCAACTCATCCATTAAAGTTGAAGAGAATTTTAGTTTTGTAAAGCAATCCAATGCAAGCGCACTTTATTTTTGTTAAATGATAAAAGCATTTAAGCATAAGGAACATAAATTGAGTCTGTTGTGTTGTGAATGCATTATTTGCTTATTGTTCACCATTTCAAATATTGTGGTATTAAATAAAAATATTGTGATGTCAAATGCATTCATTTTATGATCTGCTTTTGATTATCGAGCTGATAAACTACTGTACTTATATCTTAATGCATAAAAATGTCAAAAGTTTGGACATGCCTAATCTTTGTTTATTATAAAACTACACGTTCATCAGGTGCATTCTGGGAGGTTTTTAAGTTTTTTTTACTAAAAAAAAAAAAAAAAAGTTTTATAAAGCAATTTAAACGCAAGCATTTGAATGTTTTTAACCCTGTTGAAGGAGGAGCATACATGCTGCACATCTGATGATGCTTTTGCTTCAATATCCTCTACAAACCAATAAATAATAAAAAAAAAAAAAGTTGTACACAAACAATTTATATTCGACTACTAAACTAATTTCAAGTATTTAAGCAGACACGTTCAGATCTTTAGAGATTTTAGATTTAAGGTTGTGGGGAACATGTTGTGTCCAAGCTTTGTTTGCATATCTAATGATTGTTTTAAAAAAGCCCCCAGGAATAAAGGCCATCCTAAACAATGCTTATGAGTTTAGAGTCATTGTGATGACACAGCATGTTGAGATCTGCAGTCAAGCTGATTTTCCCTCCACATTACTCAAGCATGTCAATGAAAGAAACATTTAAATGGAAGCCACACCTGCCGCCCGCCGCGAGCCAATGATCTGCAGCCGAGGGTTGATGATGACACGCCCACCTTTGTTCTGAGCCAATGGGAACGTTAAGGTCAGGAGGGGGAAAACTTGCCCCGGGATCAATTTGTCTCGCATCAGCGACCTTCTGCAAATGTGTGGGAGGAATTTGGCCAGCTCTTCTCTATCTTTCAGGTGTTGTTAGTATGGGAAGTCGACAACAATGGCTCACGAGACTGAAGAATGAGCTGAGCAACAGTCCTCTGGTGTCCAACGTGGCCTTCGGCTTCATCCTGATGGGACTGGAGAAGCTGGTGGAGCTGGAGTTTGAGTGTCCGTGTAATCCGGCCTGGAACGGACTGTTTTCCTCCGCGTTCTTCATCATTCCCTCCATCATGACCTTCGCGCTCATGATGCTCATTCAGGGATGCAAGTGTGGCATCTGGTGCAGGTCCCTGTCCAGTTTCGTTCCCGCCGTGGTCTGGCTGATCCTGCTCTTTCTGGACGGTCAGTATTTTGCCTGCGCAATGACAGACTGGCACGGCAGGTTCGTGATCGTGGACAAAGCCGCTCCGCAGAAATGGTGCGAACCCATTCAAGAGGAGAGCGTCAGTCCTCAGGAACTCATGCTGCGCTCACAGCGACTGTTTGTGGAGTCTCAGGTGAGACGTCTTGTGTCTTTACGCATCATTAGGCCTCCTGCTAACTCTATGTAACTTTGAAATGACATCGATACATTTTTAGAACTTTACAGATACATTGATACATTTGAGGAATTTTGAGAACACATCTAGATTCGGTGTTAACATTTATAGTCTTGACTAGATTCAGGCCACTAATATAACTTTTACATTTACTTCTTCTATAGCCCAAGAATTCATTTTGTCCATTATAGAGGATGTACATGTTTTGTTAACGTGTCTATGATCATATAATGTGTGAATCTCACAAAAACATGTCTAGGTCACATTTTCCCTCAAAATAAAATGAAAATAATATACTTTTTTTGTGTGTAAAGACCAGGGTTATTATACAGCAGTTAACAAAAACTAAAACTACAAATTAAACCATTAAAAAAAGGTTAACTGAAATTAAACAAAATGGTGACATTTCTCAACTTGATTTGATGTACAAATATAACTAAAACAAAAGCTGAAATAAAAATGTATAAAAACTAGACATATATGAAAAAACGCTAATGACAAAACCACACAACAAATGACCAAAACTTTAACTAAAATGAAAATGAAATGGAAAATGTAAAATAAAACTGATTCAAAATATAATGGTATCTATATTACACTTTTTTTGTTAGACAACTAGTTGATTTTTAAGAGCATAAAGGTGTTTTGTTTTGTTTGTTTTTCTGCTCTTCATGACAATAAAACACTGTAATGCAACTAATATTCTATATTTTTTTTAATATATAAAAAATATTAGTCTATTAAAAATGTATGTATTTTTATTAAATGTATAAAAGTTAAAATGGTTTTTAATTCAAATCAAAATAAAAGTACAAAAAACACTGCCATATGATGTACAAATACTTTATATTTTAAAAGCAATATTAAAAAAAAAAATTTGTTTTTTTTTGCGACTCAGACACATTCAAGACGCGTTTTTTTGTGATTCACTCATTTCACTGTGTCACGGATACACATGTCTAGTACTCTTTAAACATCTAGATGAGCAGAACTACATGTTAGCCGTTACAGACAGCACTGTTTATCTCTCATTAACAGGTGATCGGCATAGTGCTGCTCATTTTGATCTGTTTCGGACTGGTCGTGTATGTGATCAGAGAAAGCTGCCAGCAGGAGCTGGAAACTCAAGATACCAATGTGGCAGAGATGACGCTCTACAGCTCCAGCTGATAGACACCCGTCCTCATCCGACTACAGAAAAACACGCCATCTCCAGTCACTCTTTACATTACACTCTAAAAAATGCTGGGTTAAATACAACCCAGTGAAAAAAACTGTGTATATATTATATTATACACTCTAAAAAAATGCTGGGCTAAATACAACCCAGTGCTGGGTAAAATAGGGACAAACCCAGCAATTGGGTTGTTTTGACCCAGCGGTTGGGTTACTACCCAGAAGGTTGGGTTAACCATTTAACCCAACCGCTGGGTCAAAACAACCCAATTGCTGGGTTTGTCCCTATTTTACCCAGCACTGGGTTGTATTTAACCCAGCATTTTTTAGAGTGTACAGTGTTCATGTATTACTGCAATGAATAACACACAAGAACGAGAATGTACTTACAGGGATAGTTCATCCAAAAATGAAGATGCAGTCATCATTTACTCATGCTCATAATGTTACGTGTATGATTTTCCTTCTTCAGTGGAAGAAAAAAGGACAAATCCTTAAGCCTGCACTGATCGCTCTTTTCACTTCAATTAAACAAATGAGGACCGAAACCGTCTCCCAAACTGGTCTGTATGATTAATGTATGAATCAGATCTGATCACAAATGTTAATAGAAGGTGAACATTGTCAGTGAATAATGACTTCAGTCTATTCCTCAAACAAAGTTAGTGTAAAACTTTAAATATAGCATTTTTAGACCACTTTTTTTTTGCGTTTGTGTCAATTTTAAAGCTTTAAATCTTCCGTTCATTGTAATTGCTTGGAAAAGAGCAAACGGCATAATTGTCCACATGGCAGAAATAGTCACATAGCTTTAGATCAACAAGAGGGTGAGTCAATGGTATAATAAAAATTCATTTTTGGGGGAACTAACACTTTATAGAATTATTTCAGGTTAAGTTAAACTCTATTGACAGCATTTCTGATCGATTAACACAGAAAGTCATTTTGACTCCTATGCATTTACACCAGAGGGTGACAAAATCACTTACTAAACTTGTCTGTGTAAAGTTATTTACAACATTTCAATTCCTGTCATGACCATGTAAAGCCAGTAAACACTACAGCTCATAGGATACACATTTTCATACAGAAGAAATAATATATGTATTTTACAAAATTGTTTTTTGCATTGAGAATTATGCCAATGTACTGTAATGCAAAAACTATATTCTACATATTTTTTAAATGTATGAAAAAATAATGTACTACACTGAATCAAAAATTATACATCCTATACATTTTAAACATATAAAAAAACTTCATACTAAAATGTTTTTAATTATAGCCAGATAAATAAAAAATACAATAAATACAACTATAAATACTACCTTTTGCATTTATTTTTTATTTTTTTTCATGTTCATGAAGTTAATCAACAAAATCAAATAGGCTTTTAATTGAGATATATGGAGCAACCTGAAAATACATTTGGTTCGTGAGATTATGGTTGTAATATAATGTATTTACATATAAAGCTTAAAAATCTGCAAAATTGTACCTTTAAAAGGTGACACTGAGGTGGGCCCAAATGCCATTTTTGCACATTTTATGCATAATATGAGCACTGTAATAATAAGTGTTACCCCATCCAAAGAGCTTCATATGATATATATATATAGCTTTTATAGTCAGGAGGACTGATGATTATCACTATGACCAGGGCCAGGGCCATCTTTAACGAGATTAATCCTCGTTAAAGCTACAACAGTTAAGTTATTCAGGAGCAGTCAGTGATTCTCTCTCTCTTTTTCTTGGATTAACATAGACAGCAGCTAGTAAATTAGGCGCAGTCACTTTAAGACAAAATGCATGGATCCAATATAATGATACACATATTTCTCAAGTCTTTACGTTCACTTAAGACATAACGGACATTTTTCAAGGCTACTCACACCAAGACAGGTATGTATTTGTCCATTCAAGCGCAAAAGAGATCTATAATCGTCACCACTAGCTACGGCCCTGACCATGACTAATGGTCCTTTCCCCTAAATCACTTTCATGAATGGACATTTATGTTGAGCCAGAACAGCATGGAGGGAAACAAACTGCAGCTGACATTTGACTGACATGATTATTGCGGTTATTAAGTGCCTGTTTTACAACCGCCTCACATCAACACGTGTTTAGTAACTTGAAAACGGGTAATTTTACACTCACAGTTCATACATCAGACTCAGCACAACGAGAAAACTGATTCGCAATGTAGTTTGTGTAAGGATTCAGGAAAGATATTATGTAAAAGATACTGAACAACCCATATCAATGGACTACAATTAGGAATATTGAGGGACTTTTCTCTTATATCCCAGCCAGACGCAAATGCCTTCATTAGTTCATTAGTATGTATTAGTTAATTTTCTATGGAAGCTTGTTTCCGCCACAGGACAAAAAAAAAAACTAGAAAAGGTAATTGCAACATTTTATCTCACAATTCTATCTTTTTTTTCAGTGAGATATAAACTCCCAATTGCGAAAAAAGGTCAGGATTCTGAGTTTATTTCTCGCAATTCTGCCTTTTTTTCTCAGAATTGTGAGAAAAAAAAGTCTGAATTGTGAGATATAAATTACGAATTGCGAGGAAAATAGTCTGAACTGTGAGATAAAAACTCAAATTGCAGAAACGAAAAATCCCATGGCGGAAACAGAAAAACGGAATTGCACAATATGTGAACTCAGAATTCAGAGAGAGAGAGAAAACAAGTCCAGATTACGAGATCTAAACTTGCAATTGCAAGAAAAAAAGTCAGAACTGTGAGTTTATACATTGCAATTCTGAGTGTATATCTAAAAGCTAATTGTGAGTTTTTATCTCACAATTCTGAACTTTTTTCTTGCAATTTTGAATGTACATCACAATTATGAGACAGAATTGCAAGAAAAAAAAGTTATGAATTGTGAGATAAACATTTACCATTGTGAGAAAAAGTCAGGATTCTGAGTTTATTTCTCACAATTCTATCTTTTTTTTCAGTGAGATATAAACTCCCAATTGCGAAAAAAGGTCAGGATTCTGAGTTTATTTCTCGCAATTCTGCCTTTTTTTCTCAGAATTGTGAGAAAAAAAAGTCTGAATTGTGAGATATAAATTACGAATTGCGAGGAAAATAGTCTGAACTGTGAGATAAAAACTCAAATTGCAGAAACGAAAAATCCCATGGCGGAAACAGAAAAACGGAATTGCACAATATGTGAACTCAGAATTCAGAGAGAGAGAGAAAACAAGTCCAGATTACGAGATCTAAACTTGCAATTGCAAGAAAAAAAGTCAGAACTGTGAGTTTATACATTGCAATTCTGAGTGTATATCTAAAAGCTAATTGTGAGTTTTTATCTCACAATTCTGAACTTTTTTCTTGCAATTTTGAATGTACATCACAATTATGAGACAGAATTGCAAGAAAAAAAAGTTATGAATTGTGAGATAAACATTTACCTTTTTTTTGGCAGAAATAAGCTTCCATAATTTTCAGCTCAGCTCAACCATAAAACCACCATTAAAATAATATGGGCAAGACCACACAAAGCGTCTGTTTTACAATCTTTCTTGATTGTGTTTCAAAGTCAAATCTTCTTTTATTTTTTGTTTGCGTATTACTTTATTTGTATACTACATCTGAGTGATTTCCTGCATTTGAATTTTACTCAATGTATACATTTGTAGACGTTATCTTTTGTATCAGGAGTGTTAACTGCATTAAACAAATAAAAAAGGACAATATCCAGTGCTTCCTCATGTGCAAAAAATACTCTTTAATTGACTGCCAACCAGACTTATGTTACATTTAAAAGCTGTTATCTCTGAAATTAGCTGTAATTGCTCTGAAGACACGGTGCGGTGATTAAACGCTGTTAGATATTAAAGCACTTTTAGTCATTACAGACAGCAACAGCAGCATAAGTAGGTTGAGTGTCACCTCTATTAAACCAGAGTCCCGCAGGTCACTGTAATACATCACCGTAATTACAGACGGGACAAAAGCGCTCTAATGATGTGCTAATGGTTTCTGGAAGGGATAATAGTGGAAGAAATCATTTCAATCTTAAAGTCAACATGAAATCAAATTGACTCTATTTACTTAATGTGAACGATATGTTATTCTGAAGAAATGCTCTGACCCCAGGCAGCGATGGTTGCTAGTTAATGTTCAAATATAATGTTAACCAACAGCCAAACAGTTACATATGCATTCTCCCATTCAGGTCTGTTATTCTGGTATCAAAGTCTACACTAAATATTCTGTTTCTATTCATGCTGACTTTAAGATTTAGCACTTAAGCAAAATTCACATGGTAAATCTCTCATAGCAAAGTTGAAACATTTTTAGTTTGACTATTTTTAATTGTATTTGTTATTTTTATTAATTACATCTATTATGAAATATTTTATTTTATATTTAAATATTTTACAGGCTACACACACACACATAAAAAAAAATATATATATATATATATAAAAAATATAAACATTTTATGCATTTTTTTAATGTCCCAAAGTTAGTCAAAACTGAAACACAGAAGAACATTTACAATAAAAGAGAGAAAAAACAAAAATTTTTGTTAATTTAGCAAAAAATAATACATTTTACTAAATTTTGTATACTCCGTTTCAGCTGTCAAGCAATTTCAGAACTATTTCAATGTATGCAGTTTGTGTGAAAATTAATCTTTTTTTTTTTTGTTGGTAAATGTTAGATTTTGAAAATATCAAGTTTTTATTTCTATATTATACAATCATAATATATCTATTTTATCATATCATATCTCCGGCGGGGCATAGAGGAGAAACAATAATGTACAGTATGTGGAAAATAATGTGTTTTTTTAACTTTAAACCGCATAAACACATTTCATTACACCAAATACACAAAATAATGTTCTTTTTAGCAGCATCATATGACCCCTTTAATCTTGTTTCGCTCGTTTTCTTTTTGCACATAACCTGCAACATAAACATCTGATCACTTTAAACACAATATAAACTGTTAAAGACACAATCGATACCAAGAACACTAAAACATCAACACTGTGGTACGAGTACCAGGGCATTTTATAAGAGTCAGTGCGCAGGTGAGCAGCGCCTCTGTGTCTCATGACAAACTCAATCCAGAAGACGGCGCTGTCTAACGGATTTAATGGTGCGTCTCTATGCAGACTGGACAGTTTCTGCATGTTTTTCCTGTAGGACGGCTCTGTAAGCACTTCCTGCAAGGCATCTTTAAATATGTGTCTATCTATGGTTGCAATATCCACAACTTTAGCTACACCTCTATGTCTCATTTTTGAAAGGTTATCATCCTGATCGAAAACCAGCGGTAATCCGACTATAGGAACACCGTGATAAATAGCTTCAAAAATACCATTAGTGCCTCCATGAGACACAAAAACCTTGGTTTTTACATGTCCTAAGAGATCATTCTGTGGTAGCCACTTAACCAGTAAAGTGTTGTTGCCCAAAGTAGACGGTCGCTCTCCTGTGTATCTCCAAATCACTTTTTGGGGAAGCTGAGCAAACGCAGCCGCTATATCATCGGCTATATCAAGAGGAAGTTGGCCAACTAATGTTCCTAAAGACATAATAATGACGCCATGCTCTCCGGAGCTTTGCACGAAATCCTCCAGATCCCTCGGCAGCTCTTTTGCAGGTTTGCATTGGAAACCGCCGACGTAAATGAAATCACTTTTTGGGGAAGCTGAGCAAACGCAGCCGCTATATCATCGGCTATATCAAGAGGAAGTTGGCCAACTAATGTTCCTAAAGACATAATAATGACGCCATGCTCTCCAGAGCTTTGCACGAAATCCTCCAGATCCCTCGGCAGCTCTTTTGCAGGTTTGCATTGGAAACCGCCGACGTAAATGGCATTTGGCATAGTCGGGCGAGGAAATTCAAAGACGAAATCGACCCTCATGAGCCAAATATCAGCTGCTTGAAATAACTCAAAATAGTGCAAATCAGGGCCAAAATATCGGTCGCACAAAGCACTGTAATGAGGCCCAACGATGCGCTTGTAAAGGAAAAGCCGAATGGTGTAAAACAACACATTATACGTTCTCTGAAGGAAAGTCATGTTATCGGTCAGCTGAGAAAGCGGGAAGGGAACGTAAGACAGAGGAGACGGTGCTATCGCAAAATGCGCTTCTCCATGCACAGTCCATCGGACGTTAAAAACAAGAGGTAAATTCAGATAATGCGCGAGAACAACACCTCCTCCGTTCGCTGGATCGGTCAACATCAAGTCAAAGCTGGCCTGTTTGATTTGTTCCAGCAGCTCGGGATCTTTCTCGATAATATAGATCACCATTTCGCAAATCTTCCTGTGCATTTCGGAAAATTTCTCCTTGAGCTCCATGTCCAGTTTGAATCTGGTCCACGCCGATTGCTGCTGCCGTCGGATCTGCAGTTGTCTAGAAACAAAACTGCTGTAAAACTCATCGTCTCCACCCAGTAGAAACGGGACGGTCATTGAGACGTAGTGTGGCGACGTCTCTGAGATGAACCAGCTGTCGAGGGCCCGTATCACGGTGATCTGATGGCCCCTGGAGTGAAGCTCCTGGATCAATATGTTCATGTTAACCCAGTGACTGCCTTCATGAGGAAACACCAGGATTTTCCCACAGTGCACTGGGAAGGTCAGGGTTAGAATGACGCATGAGGCAATAAAGATAAAATCCATCCTTATATGAGGAGCACAAACGTCTTTCTGAAAGACAAACACAGTTTATGATGGTTCATCATTTATCAGACAAGCTTTACTCTCTAATGTAAGTCTGTGGCAGTCCTGTGTGTTTGAATAGCTTTAAACTCAATTATACTGAAGTTTTCCAAAAACACAGTGAAATGTTGTTGCCAGTAGGGCTGTCAAAATGACTGAAAAACTACATTCGAATTTTCCACTTAAATATTATCAAAATTCGAATTATATTCGAATTTAA